ATTCATGAAGGATGGCTGCGTAGTCTTTTAACTCAAGTACTTTCGATCTTTTCTTCGATCATCTTCAGGGGTAAATTACAAAGTCAAACTGCGATAAAATCTGCATTCCATTGTGATGGTGAGTGCTAAAAACACGCGCGAACGCCTGTTACAGTTATTTTAATATTTGATAGATTTTGGGGGGGGGTCCCGCTAAACTGCGCCCCACACCTAAAAAGTAAAGGAGGTTGCAGTCTGGTGAGTTATGTGGGCATATATAAGGGGTGATGTGGTCGCAGAAATTGTCTGACCGCCATTACTAGAGTCTCCTGCTTGTATGGCATAGTGTAGTGTCCTGTTGCCAGAAATAGACGTAAGTTTGGTAAATATTTCTGTAAAAATGAGATGTCAGTATTATTTTCAAATTGTGTAATTTACACGACAGTGTATCCATCGCACCCTGTATTTCTCTCTCTCTCTCTCTCTCTCTCTCTCTCTCTCTCTCTCTCTCTTTATATATATATATATATATATATATATATATATATATATATATATATATATGAGTCTCAAGGACAAATTCGTTTATCGGTGTCGATCTTCAAGTTGCTTCATTGCTGTGACTTTGTGCTTCACTAATCAATAAAATTAATTTTGACGAGTAATATTTTGTTGCTTTTTATAGCAAATATATTGAGGACATCACTCAATGACAATATCTGGTAAATAGCTATTTCGGCGATTAGCGTTGGGTTAATGGCGTGCGAGCTAGTATTGTAGACAATTCGCTAGCGTCATTTGTTTAATATTTCCTGATGCTCTCAATCTGTAGCCTTATGTCTACATATCTACTCATTTGATATTTTTTGTTTTGATTTATTTTACACTATATTATATATATGTAATATTTATATGTAATATATATATATATATATATATTATATATCATATATTATATATTTTCTATATATTATATTTTATATAATATATATTATATTATATATATATATATATATTATATTATATATTATATTATATATCATATATTATGTTTTATATATATTATATTTCATATATTATATATTATATTATATATATTATATTATATACATATTATATATATATATTATTATTATATATATATATATTATATTATACATATTATATATATTATATAAAGTGCTGTTCGATAAAAGTGACTCACCTGATTTTTTTTACTTAAAAATTGTTTCGCCTATTGTTTTTTGGGTCAAACTAATTTTTAATCTTACTAATATAAAGACCCCTTCCCGACCATCTAGTAAAAAAGTTTACTCACCCTAAGGTATTCTATTGATAATTATAATTTTGGATATAAATGAGATTTAAGGAAAAACTCTGTGCAAAAAAAAGTGACTCACTTATTTCCTGCAACTAGTAATCAATAGAAACATAACCAAACAGCTTTAAATAAAGAATAATAGAGGTATAATTTATTTATAATAGGTAATATAGTTCGAAATATTTAATAATCTATGTCCTCTTTTATAATTCAAAGAGCTTTCAAAGCTTCTTCTTCGGATTTTAGATCGCTTAGCCTTTAAATTTAGCTCAACTTTCGTTTCATCGGAGAAGAGAACATTTAGTAAAAAAAAATCAGGTGAGTCACTTTTATCGAACAGCACTGTATATTATTATATAATATATATTATAATATATATTATATTATAGATATATATATTATATATGTATTAGATAGATAGATAGATAGATAGATAGATAGATAGATAGATATGTTATATTGGATAACACTGATATTCAAATAGTCGGAGTTTAGGTCGCTAAATACTAATATTTGGTGTCTTTGGGATAAACGCCAGTAATCTTCCTCAATCGTCTAATGTTGAGTTGCTTGTCGTCTCTGGATTGTGACTGTCTATCAGCATTTTCTCAGTAGGAACCTCAATGATGTATCAACAGCTTGAATCAACAACAGACTTTATTTCTTTTCTTTTTTTATGAATAGCGCGGTAACCATCGTTTCCCAGAGAGATCGAATGAACAGCCAGCTACTATCTTCTCCACGAGTGTGACCTGTCTCCCCCTCCTGTAACCACGGCTACACAAAGTAATCTGAGAGAAGAAGGCTCGAACGAGCATCACAGTTCTTGACCTTCTCTACTCCTGCAAGTGTTCCTTCCGCGTGTTTTTCAGTTTTGTCTTGTACAATATTTTCATATCTGTTTATATTTCTGACATGAGGTATTTTAATCATTTATATTATTTACACTGCTCGGACTGTTGTCCTTATCTTTATTGTCATGTTCACGACGTTTCGGCCGTTGTACGCTCCGGCTTACTTCAGGTGTTTGGAATTTCGAACTGAACCCTTTATTTCGTCCACCACAATCTACCCCGGTGGACGAAACAAAGTGTTCAGTTCGAAATTCCAATCACCTGAAGAAAGACGGAGCGTACAATGACCGAAACGTCGTGAACGTGACAATAAAGATAAGGAGAAGAATAATGTAAATAATTACAATATTTTAATTATGAAAAAATTAAATTTTCATTCATAATTGATAATAAATTGTAAATATACGTATAGAGAGTATATTGTTTTCTTAATTAAAATATTATAAAACAAAGAATTATAAAACATACTATTAATTATTTTTTAAATAGTTTGTCCAAAATACATTTTGTTCTTTTGATTACACAACTTTAATACCGAGGTAGGTGATCAAGGGAAAATACCAGGTGAATTAAGCGGCTGGTGTAATAGATAAAGGTTCCGAATTGGAACTTAGCTCTCTTAGTTCCAATTCCAGTCAGGTTCATTTACGTACAAATGCCCCTAGAAAAGGTATGAATCCACCTCTTCTCCCCCAGCTATAGATTAATTAGTAAAACTTGTAACCGTAAATAATTATTATCTCTAAAAGATTCTTAAATTCTAAAAATATTTGTTGGTTTTAAATGACCTGCAAAAGGGTGATAAACCGTAAAAAACAAATCAATTAATACATAACTTTAATCTTTAGATTTCTTCAAAAAGAAATATTTCTGTATGAATTGGTTATTTCCAGACCAATTATATTTAAAACAACAATTTATAACAATGTTTTCACCAATGGCGTCGTCGAAATGGTTCCAAATCCTTTCCTGATTTTCAGTTCTTCTAGTCTTTTGTTTAAGCCCTTCGAGAACTTTCCAAACACTCTGATAACGACTGGTATTACCGTCACCTTTATTTTCCGTAACTGAATCATTGAGCGCTTGAAACAGATCAAAAGTTTCCAAAACTGAAGGACCTGTGCGCATCATGTGTGCGCATGAGATTGCACCAATCTCAGCCATTCGTTATGCCTTATTCAGGTCACCTGAACCACGAAGGAATTCTTTTATACTTCTTATTCCTCTCCGTCACACGCTTTTACTTTACTCTCTCACCGCCACAACTTGGCACTGTCTCAGGAGACGTGCACCACACTTGAATTGGATACGGACAATCAATGAATAATTTATTGTCCAATGTAAACCAGTTTAGGTAACAAGAAAATCGACTACGATTACTGTTGAACCCAGTGAGAAATATTTTTAATAAGTGAAACATTTCAGTGTACTTAATAAAGTACGTCACATATGCTATTGTAGCAAGTTGATTGGTCATCACAACATCGCTATAATGACGTCATTTTCAGTTTTAAATTGGCTTTACTTTTCACTATGGCGGGGTCTAGTAAAAAAGGACCAATTTACTTTCAGTTTTTCATTCAATTCAGTTAAGAGATTTGTTGGTATTAAGGATATAATAAAAAACAGACCCCAAAATATTTCTCTCCTTCCTATTTTCGTTGACCTGAAAGTTCAAGAATTTTCCAAATCTTTTACTATTCTTTCTCTCTCACCTCTCACTCTCTCTCTCTATATATATATATATGTATCACCTTTACCTTTCTCTATCTATCTATCTCTATCTCTATCTCCGCCACTCTTTTTTTCTCTCTCCCTCCCCTCTCTCTCCTCTCTCTGTATCTCTCTTACCGGCTCTCTCACTACTTCCCCCTTTCTCTCTGCCTCACTCCCCCTCTCTCTTGCCTCTTTTTCCCTCTCTTACACCTCTCTCTGCTCTCTCTGTATCTCTCTGACCTCTCTCACTACCTCCTCATCTCTCTCTCGCAATCTCCCCACTCTTTTTCTCTCTCCCTCAGCTCTCTTCTCTCTCCCTCTCTAGTATCTCTGTTACTCTCTCTCTCACATCTTCCTCCGCTCTCCCTCTCTATCTCCCCACTTTTCTCTCTCCCTTTTTCCCTTCCCTCGCTATCCTCTCTCTGTATCTCTCTTACCCTCTCTCTCTTACTACTTTCTCTCTCTCTCACTACTTCCTCTCTCTCTCACTACTTCCACTCTCTCTCTCTCTCTCTCTCTCTCTCTCTCTCTCTCTTCCCTTTCTCTCTCAGCCCGTAATTATCTAACTGCATTGGGTATTGTGGCATGTCTTGTCTTTAAGGTTCTCCGTTTTCTCTTAACGCGCTGAGCATTTAACAATGTCACATCGTCGAATCTTCCTGACTGGAAATATTTTGCTAATTAGATAATTGCTAACAACAGAATAAAAGCGAGTGGTGCTGGTAAAAATAAAATTCTTCCTCACCATTAAAAAGCCGAAGAATCCCCTGAGAGAGTCCATCTTTGAAACCTGAAGCATTTATGGAAGGTATTTTCAGAACGCCTATATTTGTAGTTGGTAACACGCAAGCACAAAAATATACAGCCACCACACACATTAGCAGAGTTTTGTAGACAGAAAAGAAAAGACTGTAATAGATAGATAGATAGATAGATAGATAGATAGATAGATAGATATTTTCAGTCAGTTTCTATCCTCATAATCTTCATTTCCAACCAACTCCTTTTACCTTTATATCACATATTAGATAGATAGATAGATAGATAGATAGATAGATAGATATTTTCATTCATTATCTATCCTCCTTATCCTCATTTTCAACTAACCCCTTTTACATTCATATCACATATTAGATAGATAGATAGATAGCGAAGAAAGAGAGATAGATATATAGCGACGAAAGACTAAGATAGATAGATAGATAGATAGGTAGATAGATAGATAGATAGATAGATAGATAGATATTTTCAGTTATTATCTATACTCCTTATCCTCATAATCTTCATTTCCAACCAACTCCTTTTATTTTCATATCCCACAATTCATTCACTATAACGATTGTAACAATAGCATTTTAGCGTGAGTTTCTTTCAAATCTTGTATTGGTTGAATTTTAATATAAAAAGGAAAATATATAGATAGATAGATAGATAGATAGATAGATAGATAGATGGGCTAAAGAAATTAATTATGTAGATAATTAACTATTTGCATCCTCGACGAAAAGGAAGCCAAATGATAAAATTAGATCTAGACGATATTGCTATACATGCACCCTTGTGCAAATTAATTGAAACGAAACGGATAATTCCGTTATTATTTACTTTTCTTCTTTTTTTTCCAATGAAACATGACCCAGTGCACATGCTTATACTTCGTATGTCCATTCTAAGTTGTTCCTTGCAGATTGATCACAGATTCTCGATAGGATTTAAATCAAGAGAATATCCATGCTAGTCTAGTACTTTGGTTTACTCACTGGTAAGTCTTGCCAGTGTGTTCGTGCAGTGTTCCAAATTTTCGCACGCTTCCTTGGAGTAACTTCCATCGCAGACAATGGATGTAGGACAACTAATCGACAGTCGGGACAATAGTGTCTGGGCCTGATGAAATCACAGATGATGCAATATTTTTCAAGGGTAAACAAATTTCATCATGCACCCCGAAAATAGATTCGTATTACTGTACACCACTGCAAAAATTACCTAATCTGAGGAAAAAATAGAAGTCGTTTACAACCTGTCACTCCAATGGGTCTAAAACTGACCGTATGTTGAAAAAAAGGAAAATAAAGCGGATGTTACAATTAATTTGCACAAAGGTGTAAGCCGTGGAAGAAAACAGTCTAACCCCGTAAATTAAATAAAGTGTTCAGTTCAGAATTCCATGTAGGTACCCAGATCTATATACATCTGAAGAAGGCCAGAAAATCACCACTGCCAAAACGTTATGATCACAGCGGCTAAAATGAGGACAATAGTCAATAGTGTAAATTATGATAACACTTCATCCCAGAAATTAAGAGAGAAAATATCTCAGTCTGTTCATTATCTACATATATCTCAGTCTATTCACTTCATCTGTTTCAGATTATTCATATCAAACTATCAGATTAGATGTTCGCCTATTGTCTGGTTCACCTTCCTCGCCGGTTTTTTGAACATGAGTAGAGGGGTTTATCTCTTGTTCTCTCTCTATGGTTGCGTTTCGGGTTCCTTCTAAAGTCTTTTTCATTCTCTTTCACTCCCAACTTCTTATTGGCATTATCGCCTTGCTAGGAGTGAATTGATTAAAACAAACTTTTTTCGAGTGTCTGAATCTGGGATTCTCTTTAACGTATTTAATGTATAATTGGGGTTCTTGTCTTGCCTTAATGTTATGGGACCTTACCCATAATAACATAATGGACTATTCCATGCGTAATAAATACTGCGCCTCAAGAGGAAGCAGGGAGTCCAGTCCGAAGTCGGGCGACCGGCTGACTGGCTGATCGGTTGAACTCTCTGCCTTCAGGCGGGGAGGAACCCGAACGAGGCTACGCCGAAGGGCGGAGTCTCTTTCGGGGAGATAAACCGACCCTGAACCCGATTATACGGTTTCAAGGGGCATATTTTTGATCGAGCCCTCGGGCTCGGAGATCCCACGTTAAACCGGCCTTGTGCCACATGATGATGCCCTCGTGGGGGGGGGCCTAAATACTGTTCAGTCTGAAGTCTGGAGTGAAGTCCGTCAGGAGTCAGTCAGAGCGAGCGAGTCAGTCAGTCGAGTCAGAGGCAGACCGAAACAGAGTCGCGTTCAGATAATTACTACTAAACCTGTTCGTACTAACACTTTCTACTTCTCTGTATATATTCCTGTTTGTAATATATCTGTGTTATTCCATATCCGTGTTCGAGTTCTTCTTTATTGGTTCTACCTTGGACTATCACCGTGGTACAAGGAACCGGACCATAATACTTAATGTCGATAAAGCTTGTCAAGCAGAGCAGCTTCATCTTGAGCCAGACATAGCTATCCACGATCAATGTTTCACCATTATTAATTATATTTTAGGTAGCCCTCTAATTGTAAGCCTTAATCAGCCTCTCAAAATATCTGGGTTTTTTTGTCTATTAGTTTATTTTGAGCTTATTTCTTTTCTTTTTTTAGTCAAATTAAAATTAATTCTTTCTCGCAGTCAAAAGTAAATCTTCTTTTTCGTACAAGTTAAAACAAATAACAACAAAAGAGACCTGGAACGTCAATTCGTTGTTATTTATTTAGTTAGTTAATTTTTGTAACTGTATCATTATCATCATCTTCATCACTTTCATCATCATCGCAAACCAAGAATCTCGTGACTACTGTCTGTCTGGATCGATTTTGGCGCTCAGCCTGATGTATCAACCTTCACGAAGATTGGAATAGCTGACTGAAAAGCGAATTAGTTCAGTGACCGGTAAGGTCAGGGCTGCAATTAGAGACCTGAAGCCAATCAGTCAATCCTCCTATAGAAAAGACTGGAAGCGGCAGAGATGTGGTTCTACAGAGGGATGCTGAGAATGCCATGGACTGAATGCCTGAACATGCGAGTAACGATAAAGTTTTATTATAAAAGAAAAAACGAAAAGGACAGTTATACATAAAATAAGAAACAGGCAGGACACATAACAAGAAAAGAGGACTTGGAAAATTTGACACTCACATGACATACTGATGGAAAGAGAGGAAGGTGAAAACAGCAATTATCATACTTAAGGGGCTTGCTTGTGTAAATGGTTAACAGAACATGGACTGGGGGAGAGAAAGGAAACGAATATTACTTAGAACGAGAAAGAATAGAAATTTGTAGAGAGTCATAATCGACAACATCCTGAAGAGACATTGCGCTTAAAGAAAGCAAATTGAAGCATCAAAGCGTCTGTGAAGACAGAAGAATGTAGTTTGGCTTTTTGTTTGGTTTGTTTTTTAGGCTTATGAGATTATTTAAAACCAAAAAGTATTTTTTTTAGATTTTAAGAATGTTTTTATGAGATAGTAATGGTTTAGTGATATACGTTTTACTAATTAACCCATAGCTGGGGGAGAAGTGTTGGATTCATACCTTTCCCAAAGGTATTCGCGCGTAAGTGAATATAACAAACCCAACAGTATTTGGAACCTCGACTGCCCGATTAAAAATTCCGAGCCATTATACATTACACCATCCGCACACCCAAACTTACAGAACTTGATATTCTCAAGTGGTTACCCATCTATAAACTGAGCAGACTCAATGTTGCTTAACTTCGTTGATCACGATGTGGCCTAAGTCCTTGTCATGACATGGTCCCGCATTCACTGCCATATATGAGTACCGATATTGCATAAAATTTTGTACTTTTTTCTTTGTTCCTAATGAAATTTTACTGTTTCTTAATACTTTGCTTAGCTTTTGGCAACCATCTTTCGTTATACAAATGCTACTTCAGATTTTGGTGTTGAATCTCAGCATTACGAAGAGTGCTGAAAGTTCCATGGCTCGATCCACTTCCCAAAACCAGCTCAAGTGACCAAATTTCTGATTTCTGATATTTTCAAACTGTTCCACATCAATTTACCAGGCTCGACCTTGCTTAACTTCGGTGACCGGTGTTTCAACATGACGTGGCCTTAAGTCTCGATGTAGTTTGGCATTTAAATAATTCAGTGAAATATCTAAGTGGGAAGAATGCTCACAAATCTCAAGCCCGAGTAACAACAGAAAACTACACAAGAAAGTTTCAAATACGCCTTTTGTGTTAGAAGCTAGTTTTGTAACACTTGCAGGACCTTGAAAAAATGAAATTTCCTTTAACTTTGAAAGATCAGCAGCCAACATCAGATTTGCCTTCAAATAAATAGACATTCATTATTTACATTCGGCAGAGATCTCCTTTTTCTCTCCATATATGGTCATGTTTATTACATTATTTAAATTCAGATTAATGAAACTTGTAGGCAGTCCTGGATATAAAGATAAATTACATCCGCATCCAAGGTAAGACGATAAACTACATCCGCGTCCTGGGTAAGACGATAGACTACATCTGACCGTAAGGCCTTTGAGCAGGAGGATTTGAGGAGCATAGAACCACCTCTTAATTGCTGGTCTTTCCAGGTCCACCATAACCCGTGGTTAATAGCAACAGTCACGGCCCCAACTATGGTCAAATATTTTTATAAAAAAAAAAGTATCAAAACACTATGAAAGTATATAAACAGGTTTTAATACCAGCAATACTTTTGGGGGGAAAATTACCAATAATACATTTTTGAAAAAATATTACAAACAATACATTTTTGGAAAAAATATTATCAGCAATAAAAATCATGTCGGCATTAAATAACCCATTGAGGTGTTGATATGCCGGAAAACAAAACCAAACAAACAAAAGAATCTTTTAGGTCTTAATGAGAACCTCCCTTCGAATCTCGGGGATTACATAATCAAAAACAAAGAACTGTACCAAATAACATAATCGACATCACTCAATGATGTTCTACAACTAAAACGAATAACATATAAATCAGAGAGAAAATAACGACTATTTACATTATTCGGACTATTGTCCTCATATTTATTACAACGTTTCGGCCGTTGTACGCTCCGGCCTTCTTCGGGTAGTTGGAATGTCGAACTGAACCCTTTTTTTCGCTCACTGGGGTAGACTGTTCTAGTTCCACGGGCCATGTTTAATGTCAGTTATCAGTTATCTACTGTTAATTCCCCTCTCCACGTTCACCACTGCCTTAACCGGGTATTGAACTCACACTCTTTGGGTCCAGTCACTGGATCTAACCAACGCCTTTATCCACTGTGCCATGTGTTCTAGAGACAGATGCAGAAAATAACGACATAATCAAGATGCTGATGCTCCACACTACTCCTAGCAAAAGGTAAAGAAGGAAACTCCCATCCGTACTGGAAAGAGCAATAACAGCTACTGGACTTGAGAAATCTATTTTCGTGAAAAAAGTTTTAAGAAAAAGATTTTATAAATCTAAACCGACACTGTTCCGTCAATGAATATCATTTTTTTATAAGGAAACCACATATTACAATTTGATCCCAGCCCAATAGCGAGAGAAGGGGGAAAAAAGCGTAACTCGAGTTGCACTGTCTACTCTGTAAATGAATGCCGAATGTTTCCTAATGAGAAAACGGTTAATATTACCAAAAGAGATGAGGAGAACAGATACTACACTTAGTATTTACTTGACGCAACCCACGCTGACAAGATGTGACAATAAAAGATCAGTTTAATAGAAGGATCGCAGTCCTGCGCAACGGTCGGTTGATTTGACCTAGGTATTACCACCGATCTCCCCTCTTTACTGCAATGTGGGACAATGACCAGGGAATGAAGAAAACGTCACTCGAGTAGCAGTAACTGTTCAGTCAATAAATGCTGACTATTTCATTATAAGGAAACGATTAATATTAACATTACCATTAGAGAATGAAGGAAACAGATAATGCCATTTGATCCCATCCCAATGGTTAAGGAGCAAAGAAAGGTGTCATGAAGAAGGAATGAAGAAGAGGCACTTGCTGCTAAGAAAAAAGAATACCAACTTTTTACACATAAGGAAACGATTATGAATGAAGACAAAAGGAAAACTTATCTAGACCAAAATGTTTCATTCTCTGAGGAGCTTTATAAAGAAAAATGCAAGGATTTTATTTTGTAATAAGTATTTATATGCAAGAGAAATCGTTATCATTACTAATATCTTCTTCTTTGTTGTTAATATTACAAGGTTTCGGAAGCCATGCAAGTCTCGATAACGGTATAACATTTAAATAAGCTTATATAAATGTCCTGATACTCGGAATCTTTTTTAAAAACGTTCATTTTCTATAAATACGCGGAATTTATACGCCTATAATCATATCAGTAGGACATATAGCGATTTGAATTCCCATTACTGTCAATAAAAAATATTTACTTTCAATTTAATTCTTCTGACGGAGGTTGTCTAATATTAGTAAGACGTGATACTAACGTTGGACTAATTTTATATCAGGACCAATCAATGGCTGACATGAAACGAAAACACTGATCTCTCTCATTCGTGTTCACACATGTAATAATAGATTAATGAACGCTTTTTTTTTACAGTTGTCAGTAAGGTTTTATTTTTGTAATTTACTGCGATGAGGCGTTTGCACTTATTATAGAAAGAAAGGACAACAAGAACCAGGTGAAGATTAACTTGATAGACGCAAATACGTCAACAAACTCATCGCTTCATCAAGCAGAAAAGTATTTATTTTAAACATGTGAAATTTATCTTTCAACATAATCTCATTCGTTGACAATTCTTCCCACATTGATCGAATATTATATAGTGAACATTTCAGATCAAAATTCATTTAATGCCTAAGTGTCAGTTTGCAGACTTACTGATCAACAACCGCAATATATATATATATATATAGTCTTAAGGTGTGCTATATTTATGAGATAAAGTGCTCAATATCATCAGAGATAGAGCGTGTGTAAATATATAAGTGAACATTGAAGTCAACACTTAGAGGCGACAGTCTGTCTCATGCTAAACGCAATCGGACTCGTGGCCTGACGATTGCGTCTAACATGAAACAGCCTGTTGTCTCTAAGTGTTGACTTAATATTCACTATATATATATATATATATATATATATATATATATATATATATATATATATAAATAAGTAATGAAGGGTTTGTTAATCCGTGTGGATAATTCCAAAAGGGGTGTAATCCAGAGAGTTTAATGCAACAACAGAGCAAATATTAATTAAATAATTAAAAAGAGACAACCTTAAGGTTCTCTGACTATAATTTATTTCCCCAGAAAATATTTTTCCTGGTTCATCAGGTCACATCTCAAATCATGAACCAGGAAAATTTATTTTCTGGGGAAATAAATTAAAATCATGCAACCTTAAGTTTGTCCCTTTCTTAATTATTTGATTCAAATATATATATATATATATATATATATATATATATATATATATATTAAATAATTAAAAATATATATATGTATATATATATATATATATATATATATATATATATATATATATATTCAGTTGCATGAATATTAGTTTGTAATGCCCGAGTTTCACGCCTCTGCGATCATCCGACAAACTGCTTTATTTTTAAAAAATAAATTTTTAATGTTTATTTTTGTTTTATTATTTTTGTGTGGTGGCGAGTGGGGTTAATTTTCTTCTGTCTTTGTTTGGAATGACACTGTCACGTACATAGACACACAGTACAAACTAAAATGCATACACCTGTATGTATATGTGTCTATGTATGTGAAAGTGTCACCGCAAACAAACACAGAAGAAAATTCACCCCCTCGCCACCACAAACAAATAATTAAAAATAAACAAGCATAAATAGATCCACCTTATAAAAAAAATAAACCAGTTTGTCTGTGTTAACAATGACAAAGTGGAAAAGAAAGAAAGAAAGAAAGAAAGAAAGAAAGAAAGAAAGAAAGAAAAAATGAATGGTATTTGATGGAAATCAAAGAAATAAGGAATATTTGCAAGAACTGTGGGGAGAAATGAGTAAAAGAGTAAGTCATGTAGATGCTAGACAGAAAGAAAGAAAGAAACAAAGAAACAAACAAATTTAAAAGGGGTAAAATAAAGAAAATAACACGTCCAAAAGGGAAAAAAGAACGTCACATTCAAAAGAAAGAAAGAAAGAAAGAAAGAAAGAAAGAAAGAATGAAATAATCAATATTGATAGAAATATTTTCAAAAAATAAAGCATGAAACTCGGGATCACAAACTAATATCCATTCAACTGAATATATTAGCTCTATCCGAGATATTGAGCACCTTCCACTAAGTACCACGTATATATATATATATATATATATATATATATATATATATATATATATATATATATATATATATATATGGTTTGTGTTATAATCCCGAATTTTAAAATCCTGAATGTCGAAATTCTGAAATTTAAGATCTCAATGTATCAAAATCCTGAAAGATCAGAATCCTGAAATTTAAAATCCTGAAAAATCCCGAAAAATAATATTTGGGAGAAATTAAAAAAAAATAGAAATATCTTTATTTCTAAACATTTAGAAAATATCTTTTAAAAAGTGAAACATTCAAAATTCATTAAAAAAATATAAAACCGGACTATATGAATAATTTATAATGAAAGATTATGAGAAAGAACTTTTTTATAGTCCATAAAATCTGGTTGGTTTTCACGATCGTTAACTATATTTTTAACCCTTTCATCACAATAAAACAGATATTTTTTTTTTCTTTTTGGACAAGACTCTCCTCGGAGAATTCATTCATATTCGTTTTCTACCAGCTGCTGCTTTTTTTAAACATTCCAATAATTCGTTCAACCCCGGCATGAGCATTTCCTACTAAATTTTCTCATCGCCAATGCCATTTTTTTGGTTTTATATTTTATATATTTTAAAATTCCAGGATTTCGACATTCGGTATTTTAAGAGTCAGGATTATGATCGGCACCCATAGATAGATAGATAGATAGATAGATAGATAGATAGATAGATAGATAATATTAGTGGTCAATATATATATATAGATAGATAGATAGATAGATAGATAGATAGATAGATAGATAATATTAGTGGTCAATAGATAGATAGATAGATAGATCATATTAGTGGTCAATATATATATATATATATATATATATATATATATTTCGGAGATATATTTTCCGATTTTATTTTTGAATTTGTAGGTCAGATGATTTGGATCGTGATTAAAAATTCCAATGTAATAAATTATAACTATGGAATATTAGTGTTTGAGCCTTATATATATATATATATATATATATATATATATATATATATATATATATATTGTGAAAAACGTATGACAAAATGGAAAAAGTTCCTTGTGACGCATTCAAGCAATAAATTTATTATGTTGGTGCGACTACACATGCGCACGGCCGAGGGATGCAGGGAATTTTCAATTTTAATTTTTTTTTTTTATCTACCTGATTTCTTTTTCTATCAAACGTAAATTTAGTCCGATGAAGTCGCATGCTCTCTCTCTCTCTCTCTCTCTCTCTCTCTCTCTCTCTCTCTCTATCTATCTATCTATCTATCTCTCCACCCCCAAGTTGCAGACTTCCGAAATATTTTGATTGTGTGTTTACTTATGCATCACTGAGTTGTAGTTGTTAAGTATGGAAATTCGAGTGAATTTCTAGTTGAGGTCAGGCGTCTCTTATATTCAGAAGTCATTCTATCAAAGAAGTGCACAAGAAAACCAGGGAAACTGACGCAGACGTGTCCGCATGAGAACCATCGAGAAGTGTCCGAAAAGACACTGGCACGTCTAATATTCTAACATATATTTTCCGATCGGTATGGACAGTACAGAAAAGTCTCTTCTGCCCGAAATGATTTACAGTTAACATCCTCTCCAGAGACAAAAAGCAAAGTTAATCATCCAGATTGATAGACACAGCAAATCTATCGATGGCCGTATATTCGATCAGCCGCAGAGTATCGAATAGACAGTTGATGTTAATTAGTAACCACAAGTAAAGAAGAAAGTTGAAACAACATTGGGATTAAAATAAGAAAGAGAATGAAAGAGAAAGAAAAAGGGGAAAATAGAAGATTCCTGCTTGGTTATTGAGAAATGTGTTCATTTTGTGATGGACTTCACCACATTAATTTAACTTTAGATTAGGAAAAAAGGCTCACGCAGAAAAGGATAACGAAAAGACATTGTTCCACATAAAATATGTATTTAACAAGATGTACAATATCAAACAACGATGGGAAGGAAAGCACGCAGTTAAGAAAGAAAATGTTGAATTAACCAAGAGTTGTCTCTCTTTAACTGTTATTTAGTGTTCCAAAGTTCACTGGAAGAATGTTCATGAGAGTCTCTTGTAATGATTGTTCTTGAAAGATTTTGCTGTGTAAGAAGAGTGAGTGAGTACAAGGTATGTTCAGCATGTGAGTGGTGTGTGTGAGTGAGAAAGTTGGCGCATGGTTTCAACTGTCGTGGATTCGTTTGGCAGTTGAAATCTCACTATTAGGATTAGAAAAATCTTGGCTTAAATAAGCGACTATAGGCTCCATATCGTTGCACGGGAAGAATTACTCTTCACGTGCAAACGATCTGATTGATTGGCATCGACCAATCAGCGAGCGAACTTTGGGGAGACTTAAGAAAGATTCTGTGATCCGTTTCTCCCAAAAGTGCACAAAATTGACTACTTAAAAATAGAAAATTGTCGCATTGCTGCGATTTGTAAATTGACTGTAGTAATGTAGTGGTGATTTATTAACCAATGAATGCTTGGCGTTGTATGTGACAATTTTGTTTCATTTGATCAATGGGCGCTGATCAGGCCTAGACAAAAACTAGGATATAGAAAGCTGCTTTTCAAGGCAAGTAAACCACTTAGACAACTAGTACAATACAATCTTCCAATTACATTTCAGTCACCTTGTCGATACTGCCTATGTCAAAAAAGTTCTACTTAATAGAAATAATATCTGAAAAATAAAAATAAAAGACTTTCCACACAATAAATCGTGATATGAAACATCAATAAGAGGGATTATGTGTAGAAATAAAAAATAATGAAATAATAACGATAATGAAAAGTGTAGCTACCCAGCGTTGTGGTGTAGTGGATGTGCGGCTCGAAATGACAGACCGAAGATCTGAGTTCGAATTCTGGTCGAGTTCGTTACATTCTCTTACGTGCAATACTCTTGGAAAAGGTGTGAATCTTCTCCCTCCAGCTATGGTTTGTATAGCAGGATAGACTGAATCGTATAGCCTTGGCAACCAGTCTACCACAGTAAGAAATGACAACCTGCTGCAGGAAAATCTTCTGCCTCGCTAGTCATGAATCGAAAGATCACTTGAGCGTGTATCACATATGGCACCTAACTGACTGATGGACCTACCCAGCGAGTTGCGACATTGTGTAACAGTATTAAGATGGAGTAAAACTATTTATAAAATAATAATAATTATAATTATAATTACAATAATAATATGGGTCTACACAATACACACAGACAGAACAATCAAAGGTAATCACCCAGACATTGTTATTAGAGACCACAAACGAAAAAAGTGCCTCCTTATTGATATGGCAGTCCCTACAGACTGCAGTGTATCTTTGAAGATGTTCAAAAAGCTATCAAAATACAAGGACCTTGAAATTGAAATCTCAAAAATGTGGCACATGAGAACATCAACAATCCCTGTTGTAGTTGGAGCCCTAGGATTGGTTGGAAAAGATTCCAGTAGACTAATTGAAGGGATTCCTGGAAGTCTATGCCTCAAAGAAATACAAAAAAATGTTCTGACAAGTACAGCCCACACTTTAAGAAGGGCTTTATCTATGTAATTTTTTTTCTATTTTTTTTTGTCAGTGGAAAGTGTCATGATGCCATTTCTAACCTTAGGTCTCTGGGCGGGACCCGAAAAGAAATGTGTAAACGCCAGAAATCAAAGAAAATAAACATAATAATAATAATAATAATAATGGACAATGTATTGGGCCAGAGTATTGTGATAACAAGTAAAAATAAAAAGGAATAAAACGTAATAAAAAGTGGGTTAACCCTGAAGTCGGAATAAAAAGCAACAAGGATTAAAACATTAGACAAAATAATAGCAATAATGACTAGTGTATTGACCCGGAGAGTTGGAGTAATAAAATAACAATATTATGATGGAATAAAACTAGTAATAAAATAATATTAATAAATTAATAACAATAGCGAAAAGTGTATTGACCCAGAGAGTTGAGAAAAAAAAGTAACAATAATTAGATGGAATAAAACTCACCATAAAATAACAGTTGTAAAATAGGAATAATGAAAAGTGAATTGACCCGAAGTGTAGGGATAAAAACGGGCAATAATAAGATGACGTGGTTTGTTTTGTTTTTTGTTTTACAGCATATCAACCTCAATGGGTTATTTAATGCCGATAAAATTTTTATTGCTGGTAATGTTTTTGCCCCAAAATTAATTGCTGGTAATATTTTTTTCCAAAAATGTATTGCTGGTAACAATTTTTTACAGAAAATATTTCTGGTATTAAAATCTATTTTTGCACTTTTGTGCTTTGACCCCAGTTTGGGGGTTAATTTATAGATGGTACCCTAACATGTGCTACCACCTGGGTCAGGGTGAAGCTGTGAACACCAGCAATTAAGAGGTGATTTCACGCTCCTCAAAATCTCCTGATCAGAGGGCTTGCTGTCGGGCGTAGTTTATCGTCTTACCCTGGACGCCAACAATAAGATCTAGTGAAACTAATAATAAACTAAATTATTGTTAACTGATCCAGTGTCTTGTGATGGGATCAAAAATAGTATGAAGGAGTGAAAGCGAATGCAATCTTAATTTGAGAAGGGAAGACACTAAAGAAGAAATTCAATAATATTCAGTAGACAATGAGATTTTAGGAGGTGGAAAAGGAGTGGAATCGGAAAACCTGCATCATGTGGAATGTCATTTAAAATTTGAAAGCAAAAGAGATATTAATGAGTACGAGAATCCTCTTTGTCCGAGACCAGGTGATGAGATTTTTGCATCCTAACAGGAATTAGAAGAGATTAATAATAAACCTAAGGAAAATAAGGAGGACACATTTGAGAATGATTGAAAGAGAAAAAAAAGGAAAGGTGAGGGAAAGTTTTATATTGTCTATCGCTCTATTTACATTATTCGGACTATTGTCCTCAACTTTCTCGCCGTATTTATTACAACGTTTCGGCCTTCTTCAGGTGGTTAGTATGTCGAACTGAACGCTTTATTTCGCTCACTGGGGTAGACTGTTCTAGTTCCACGTTTAATGAATGTCAGTTATCAGTTATCTCCTGTTAATTCCCCTCTCCAAGTTCTCCACTGCCTTAACCAGGTATTGAACTCACACTCTTTGGGTCCTGTCACTGGATCTAACTAACGCCTTTATCCACTGTGCTTGTGTATGAATTTCTGGGTATTATAAACCTAATGTCTTCAGCAACCATTTTACCAATACTCATATTGCAATTTTTGCTGTTATCATTGCATGTTTTTTTTTACCAGACCTCATATTGCAATTTTTGTAGTTGTTATCGCTTTTATCTGCCACTCCTTATTACTGGTTCCTATATTGTATTCATTTCTATGCTTGGTCGGCTCAGGAGATTTTTGTGGCCAAGCATATGTACTGATTCCTTAAGTTTTCGAATTTTCCAATGGTGTTCTTTGTCTATGATCTCAACCTGATCCCACAGAGAGCGGTGATCTCCCTTTTCTCTCCATATGTGGTCAGCCACGCCTGATTTTTCCACTTCTCCAGATTTCTGGTGTAATACGAAGGGAAGTGAAAGGCTGGAGCGTACAACGGCCGAAACATTGTAATAAATATTACACGCCTTATTCATCATAACAATTAAAACGGTAACCCTTTCAAGTCTTATATCGGATGAAATTAAATATAAAATTGAGGAAAAGAAATGAAGAAAATGAGAGAGGAGGAATTGAGATACTGGTATTTGATAGAAATCAAAGAAATGAGGAATATTTGCAAGAATTGTGGGTAGAAATGAGTAAAAGAATAAGTCATGTAGATGTTAGAAAGAAAGAAAGAAAGAAAGAAAGAAAGAAAGA